AAATACATAATATAAACAACCATTGTTAATTTTTTATTGTGTTGAAATTCTACACTTGATCTTAGCTAAAAGCCTGAAAAGCAATTTGTTTTGAAATTCTATACCATATATATTGTTGTATGTTACTCTGTTTCTGTCTTTGTCTTTGCTATTTGTTTCTGGTTTTTTGTTTTTGTTTTTAGTCTTTAAAATAAAAAAAAAATTATATCTTCAAACTGTCATTTCTGTGGCAAAAGAAATATGGAAGAATGATTCAGATATACATTTCTACAGTAGCCTGCACTGCATTTAAATGTAAAACATTTTTAAAAGTCATCTTAATTAACACAATGACACCAAGACTCAAAATATTAAGAATAACCCCAGAATACAGACTAGTTGGTATTACAGCTATTTTCCTTTAAATGTCACCTTACACATTCATGGAACAATCCAGGAAAGAGTAAAGGTTAACACCTAGGTCCTTCTACCAAAAGCAGTATTAGGTTTACCTGCATGTCAGTAAAGTTAGGTGCTGACTGAGTTCTCTGAAGTATCTCCAAATTTTGCAGGAGTTTGCTAAGTTCCACAAGGTTTGACTGGCAGTGTGCAAGATCTAATAAAGATCAGAAATAAAAACATGTTAGCATGGTGGCAGATGTAATAAAGGGGACTCAACCCACATTCCTAACAAATATGATCGGGCAGATCTACGCCTGCATGATGGTAATATAGGCAAATGAAATAAGAAGGACCTTTCTTTGGTGTCGAAACATAAAGCCAGAGAATCTCAAAGCCCATTTTTATCAATTTGTGATTCTTAGTGTAGAAGACATTGCAATCTCAGTCACACTGTGCACGGTCACTTTCCTGCTCTGATGGCTTCTGTCACATGGGAAAACACATCCAAAGGCATTTCAGCAGTCCTGTGGTCCTATTCTTAGGGGCCACCACACGCCCCTCTAACATGGTTTACAAAGTGCTCGTCTGACATTTGGGCAGAGTCAGAGTCAGGTTCAGAAAAACAGAATGGCAGCCAAGTGAGATGGTGCACAGCTGTAATCCCAGCATTCTGGGGGGCTGAGGTGGGAAGACAGCAAGTCTACACCAAGCCCAGCCAACTCAGCGACTCGAGGAGACTCCCCCAAATAAAACAGTGTAAAGGATGAAACTCTGTGTAAAGGTGCTGAGCTCATTCTCCAATCACACACACACACACACGCACACACACACAGAATACAAAAATCAGTTACACGGATTCATAATTTCACTCACTAATAATGTTGCAATGACTTCAAGCCCATTAGAGACATTAAACTGATACAAAATTTTATATCTATGGAAACAAGTGCTCCAAGAGTCAAATATCTTCCTTACATATTTAAGGTCTGAGCTTGTATAAATCCAGATCTAGGACTAGCCAGCTGCTTTAAGTATAAGAATTATATAAATCAGATGTAGTATCTGTTCAATAAGATGTTGTATCTTTCAAAATGTAATTAGTAGGGCTGGCCAAATAATTCAGCGGATTAAAGTGCCTACAAGCAGGCACAGGGGTCAAGGGTTTAATCCCAGGGCCTGCTGTGCTGACCCTGCCCCCAGAGCATGCTGAGATGGCGACTGAGACTGGGCGTGGTAGTGTGTGCCTGTAATTCCAGCTCTTGAGGGCTATAAACAGGTGGATCACTATGAGTCCAATCTAGTAGTGACACCCTAAACACCTGCAGACCCTTCCCCAAAACACAGGGAGAAAAATATAATTAGTGAAATAAGCATCCCATGAAATAACTAAGAAATGTTCATACTTTTGAAATCCAATAGTAGGGATTCTATGACAAGCAACCAGTATGGATTATTCTTATATTACTGTAGGAGATTAGGAAAGGAATGTTACTACAAGCTGGAGTCATCAGAGAAGACATAAAAAGTATGGCCTATGTCTGGGACTGAAAGATGAACTGAAAGGTTTCAACAAGCCAGGGAGGTGGGGAAGGGCAGAGAGGCCCTGCAAGATGATGAGAGCAACCCGCGCAGAGACGTGCAAGTGAGGAACACAAACTAGTCCACAAAACAGCGGCATCACAGAAAAACTAAGTCAAAGGGTATGTAGGGCCTGACTCTCAATGCACGGGCTGCTGCATGTGGTGCACGCAGTTGGTGAGCACGCTCCCAAAGCTGATGGAAAGCCACTGAAGAGTTTCTGCACTACAATTACTTTCATTATTGTAACTGTACTACTAACCTGTTTTGAAACCATCTCATTGCTACTTCTTTCTCAATAAAATTATTAAAATAATAAAAAAAGACTACACAGTCATGAGGGAGTATTATGTAGTGGACAAGGAACTTTGAGGTTAGTCAAATGTGAGTTTGGGGGTGCCAGGGAGATGGCTCAGTGGAATAAGCGCTTCCCTGGCAAGTGCAAGGGCCTGAGTTCAATCCCCAGTTCCACCAAAAAAAAATAAAGGGAGTTGGCTGGAACCCCAAGACAGCTACGTAATCTTGGGCAAACCTTCACCTCCATGCATGTCACTTTCCTCGTCCACGTTGTGGGTGCAGCTGCAGTACCTGTGCTTTGCGGCTGAAACGCAGTGGTGATGCCTGTTTACCAAGTACCAGCCTGGGGCCTGCGACAGCTTCAACAATAGGAATTTCCCATGAGCCTCTGAGCGGGATGAGGCAGCAGAGCAAGAGATGGAAGTGGCGGCAGCATCAGGAGGCTGCATGATGCCACAGATGAGGACAGAGAGTGGGAAGGCAGGAATGGAATTCAGTGCAAGGCAGGTTGGAGGAAGGGGATGCAGGGAGTTTGCAAAGAAAAAAACAGGCAGGACCCAGTCTGGGCTGGATGAACCTGGAGGAAGACCACAGCCAACTTGTGTTTCAGAGGTGGCTCTGACAATTGCATTCTGAGGCACAGGAAAGAGCGGGTTTTAGGCCACTTTTAGGGAAGACACAGCTGACGAGGCAGTGGGGCAACACCTGCCCTGGAAGTCTGAGTGCCTAGGTTTGAATCCTGGGTTTGTTTTAGGAGCCATGGAAACAAGGCGGAGGGAGTGACCCTCTCTGTCCTTATGTTTCCCAGGAAACACGGGAGTCACTGCTACAGGAACTTGCAGAATCATCAGAGAATGCAGTCTGGCTTCTTTCGCAAACCTGAAATTACTGGATTCAAAGTCTGACTGTTCGGACTGTGACTGAACTCATTCTGGAAAAATCTCACTACACTCTCAGCTTGGTGTGCTTATGATTATAAATTCCCTCTTAAATAACATTTTCAAGTGGCGACTGAGTGTGGGACATGGTATCTGGGAGGGCTCAGTGCTGCACAGTGAGCAGAAGGGCAGGAGGTGGGGGGCGGAACTGTAATCTCAGCACTCTGAGAGGCTGAGGCAGGAGGATCACAGGCTCCAGCTTAGCCTGGGAGTGTAGCAAATTACTGAGTACCTATCTCAAAATAAAAATTTAGAAAAGGCAGGGCATACCTCTTACAAATCCCTATGTTTTCCACCTTAGATCTGTCTTACTTCATGGTGTTGCTCTATAAAAATCCCTCAAAAAGGGCCGGCGAGATAGCTCAGAGGACTAAGTGCCTGCTTAGGCAAGCACAGGGACTGGGGTTTGATCCCTGACACCATATGCTGCACCCACCCTGCCCTGGGGTGCGCCAAGCCGCCCACCAAGACCAGGCATGGTGGCACATTCCTGTGATCCCAGCGCTGGAGAGGCTGAGACAGGAGGATCACTACGAGTCCAAGCTGCATAGTGAGACCCTGTACCAAATAGATTTAAAAAAACTCTAGAAAAGGCAGGTTCTTTGGCAACCCACTCAGGTCCCCTTCTGTTGCTCTCTCAGACAGAAGCTTTCTTTCCCCAGTAAATACATTCTGCTCTTAATTTTTTGGTTTTTAAAGGCTGGGCATATAACTCAGTGCAGAGACCCTAGGAGTGCCCTACGACCACAAACAAACAAACAAGCAAAAAACCCGCCGCAGACTGAGCACACACACTGCTGTGCAGACATGCCATCCCGGTTGGGGAGCTGATGCACTGCCAAGTTTAATTCTTCCCAGAAAGAACATCAGTAAATTTTCTAGTAATGTCTACTTATAATTTCACAAAAGAAAAATACTTTAATCTCAGCACCCTCTGAAGAGCACCACAAAATTTAAATCCGTTGAGCCCTATTACTTTTTACATTGACCTTCTATTTCTCAGGTTTGAAGAGCAGATGGAAAGGGTTTCGTAGAGTGGAAGTGACCTGTGGACCAAGTCTGGAGGAAGCTGCGTGGCTGAGTGGGAGGAGGAAGAGATTCAGCGGCTCTGGGAGGGCAGAGTGAAGGAACTGCATGTTTGGATTTTTTTTTTTTAATTTTATATTTATTTATTTATTTATTTATTTATTTTGTGTGTGTGGCCAGCTCAGCCCACCAGGGGGCGGGGCTGGCTGGCATGTGGTGCTGGGGGATTGAACCGCAGTCCCTGTGCTTTGCTTAGCTTAGCTTGTTCTAAGTAGGTGCTTTAGACCACTGAGCCGTCTCACCAGCCCTGTTTGGATGTTTTAACAACCAATGCCCACGGAAACACCACTCATGGGGAGCTGTGGCTATATGAAGTGGCACTTTGGAATTGTGCCACCATGGCTGGAGACACACGTACTTTGGGCAGAAGAAGAGTAGCTCAGAAGGAGACTAGGGAAACGCCCTAGAGGGGAGGGCAGAGCAGAGGCCAGGAACATGGCTTGGGCATCTCCAGGGCCAGGGGTACCACTTAGGAAGTCACAAGGTAGAGTCGAGGAGAGAAGGCTAAGGTGAGTTCAAAGTCAGGGCAAAGCCAGAGTCCCTGTTCTGAGTGTGCAAGGGAACTGGTGGGTCAGCAGCCCTGGGTTACAGGAGGATCTAGTGTAGAAAAATGAAGGACAATCAAAGGCTGTCAAAGGGCCCAGGCAGGATGCAGTACCCACAATTCACCACGGTAGTTCTCATTTTTTTTTTCGGTTGCTTTAGGTTACACAGTAAGAACTGACCTTCTGCACACCTGTCCATCTCTTCTGAGTCCTGCAGCCAGGCCGCCACCTTGCTCTGGCCGGTCGTGCAGGTCGCAGGGAGGCTGCTGCTGCATGGGAGTGGGGACTGCCAGGGAAAGCTGTTCGGCTGCACCTGTGGGGACAGGGACAGTGCTCAGGATGGTCACGTGTGGTGAATGAAATGGTGCATTTAAATGATTGCTAAAAATACCAGTGTCCTCAAAGAAGCCTTTTTTTTTTTTTTTTTAGAAAAAAGGACATATTCAAAACACTGAAGAAACCACTTCGCTAAATGTGGTAGGTGTTTGTGAAGACAAGATTTGTAGAACACTGCTTAAAAGTTGCCAGCTCCAGGATTTGAGGAAGAAAGCAGTAGGTTGTACCTTGATGCCAACTCAAATTCCTAATATTTTAAGGTAGTTGTTAATTTGTCTTTAATACAGAGTCCTTACTGCAGAACTTTCTATTTCTTCCTTGATACTAGAGATAGAACCCATGGCCTTTGAACTTAACTACACACTCAGCCCTAGTTTTCAATTTCTTAGAAGAATTTTGAGATCAGCCCTTACTAACTCACTAAGGTGTCCTGGCTCGGCTCCAAATCTGTGATCTTCCTGCCTTGGTTCCTCAGAGCGCTGAAGGCACAGGTGCGTGCACCACAGGCGGCTTTCCTGCATTATTCCTAACTCACGACTCAAGGCCTTGCCTTTCCAAAAGTTCTCTGGGGGCTGTGATCAGCTCAACGTCTTGTCCACCACAGGTGATTGCCAAATCCATTACCCACCAATATGCAGTCCTATGCTTTGAGCACATACTGAAAGTTATATAAAAAGGTTTGCCAAGCTATCTATCTATCTATCTATCTATCTATCTATCTATCTATCTATCATCTATCTATCTATATATTTTAGGGAACAGTCTACAGGGTGTTCAGGGTCTCATTGTGTAGATCAGACTAGTAGTGATCTGCCTGTTCACAGCCTCCCAAGAGCTGGGATTGCAGGCACATGCCACCACACTCACTCTCAGTTGCAGTCTCAGTGTGACCCTGGGGGCGAGGCCAGCATGGTAGGCCCAGGGATCGACCCCCAGCCCCTGAACCTGCTGGCAGGCACTTAATCTACTGAGCTATATGGCCGGCCCTGCCAAGCTATTATCTATAACCAATGTATTTTCCATGAAAGGATTTGATGTGAAATAAAGCTGTGCGAAATATGCTGGTATATACTTGGGTGAGTGTAATAAACACTCAGTGAAATAAGCACAAATTTATTTCCCAAGAAACTGTAGTCTAACATTTCATATTTAACTTTAATATTCAATTACAATTGACTGCATCTCTTCTAAGTCATTCCTAAATGACTGATGTGCACACTTAGCAAAGCCAGGCTTATTTATTACCTACGCGGGGCCACAAGCTGATTAACATTCAGGAGCCCCATGATTTGACACGTAGAAGGAAATCAAAGAGATAAAAGGCTCTTTTCCATCTTTATTGCATTTTAATAAACCTCATGGAAATATTTCACTGAGTGCGATCTTACAGATATGGCGTCTGCAACTCCAACAGCAGAGCTTTTGTGAAAATTGCAGTTGAAGAACTTTCTTATGTCAAGGCAAACAGTAGGGGAGGACTTGATTTTAGTCCACGATTCTCAAATATCACCCAAGTTATTTACTAAAAAGACAAGGGATGGAAGTAATGTATCTTTTGTCAGCACCTTGTACCAAAAATGAAAGAAGTTGGAAAAACCAAAGAATTAAATTTTTTTAAA